TCTTTCTTTCTTTCTTTCTTTCTTTCTTTCTTTCTTTCTTTCTTTCTTTCTTTCTTTCTTTCTTTCTTTCTTTCTTTCTTTCTAGATTTCTAGATTTCTAGATTTCTAGATTTCTAGATTTCTAGATTTCTATTTCCCCTTCTCTCAGTATTTGCACAATTCAAGGCACCCACCTAGCAGGTCCCTTACAAGGTGGGTTGGTGCAAGGTTCGGCTGCTACGGGTTAGCCCTGGTTCGGGAGAACCCGTAGCTAATGTTATGGCCGGTTCAGAGAACCTCCAAATCCCAGACTACCCCTCCCTACCCAGGAGTCTCCACAGGACCCGTTTTGGATATGACGTAAGTGCAGGGCCCGCATGGAGGCTCCGGGGTGGGGTGGGGGGAGAACAGGCCTCTCGGATGTTCCGGAAGGCTGGAAATGACTCCGTTTCGGAGCCTGGGGTAAGCAGTTTTCGCCCTCCCAGAGGCTAGAGGAAAGCCTCCGGAGCCTGGGGAAGGCGAAAACACCCCTCTGCCCCCAATGAGGTGCAGGAGGCCGACTAGGCCATGGCCACCATGGCCATGGCCACCCAGCAACCGGGCCGAGAACCCATTACTGAAATTTTTGAAGCCCATCCCTGGGTTGGTGTGATAGACAAGGACAATGGCCAACCAGTTGGCTTCAGGCCCAAGGCAGAACTCTCTCCTGGTTTTTAATCTAGCACTTTCACCTCCACTACACTTAAGTAGCTGGCCATTTCTGCTACTCTCGTAATTTCACCTTTCTTTTTGACAGTGGACTTGAGTAGCTGGAAAGAGAAGATTGAGCGGGATGCTGCCGGTGCTGGCCTGTTGCTGGATGACTCTGAGGAAGATGAGGAGGATGACCGAAGTATGACCGTGCTGGTGGAGCATCAGACAGATGTAGCTATGGAGGGCGGTGGAATTTCCCAGGAACTCTACAAAGACGGAATCTTGACAGTCGGCTGCGTAGGTGAGTCTGCCCTTAAAGTCACTCAACAGGACGGAGTATTTCCGGGACTATTTTTGAGGAGGAATCTTAGCAGAATTGCTTTCCAGGTGCTGAAGAAGGACATAGACTACAACAGGTCCAGATTTGCATACAAAACCAAAGTTACCGGTGTGTTACTGATAGGTGGTAGATACATAATTTTTGGAAGGATAGGTAGTCCCTCTGCTTATCACTACAATGAAGCCTGAAATTTTGGTTGTATGTTGTTGTGGTTGTAAGTTGAAGCACCATCTGACCTGGCTTGAAGCTTTGACTGTGGTCAATACAATGGTCATAAAGCAACTCACCACGGTTGCTAATTGAATCACATGATGTTGTTAAGCTGTTAAGTCAACCATGTGGTCATTAAACAAATCCAGCATATCCAATGGTGTTTATGCATTTTCTGGTCAGGAAATGGCCAAGAAAAACCCATTGCACATCATGTTCATATCAGTGCAGAACACTTTATAACCAATCCCAAAAGTGCTTTTTCAAGAGGCAACTGGATTTTAACAATTGTCTTTGAAGATGTTTCGCTTCTCATCCAAGAAGCTTCTTCAGCTCTGACTGAAGAATGGAATGGAAGGATTCAGAATCCAGTTAGAGCTGAAGAAACTTCTTGGATGAGAAGCGAAACATCTTCAAGAAAAATGAAGAAAGTCCAGTTGCCTCTTGAAAAAGCACCTTTGGGACAACCATGACTGTAAGATAAGCTCCCCGTTGGGAGAGCGAGTACATTCAGTGAAGTGTTGTGAGAGTTGTGTTGGAGAACACACAAACCAGCATACAGAGACACTGCAGTTTAAATAGGCTTTT